ATCCTCTTTTTCTTGGGTTTTAGGTCATTTTTAGTATGTTTGTGAAGCATTTCGGGTGTTGCGTAAGATCTGGAGTTGCAACTTCAGATCTGGACTCCTCTAAATCCTTAGAGTTATAAAGTCACTGAATTTATCAAGCATTGACCCTTTTCTTTGGTTAAAACCCCTCCCTTAGCTTGGTTTTGGCACTTAAGAGCTTCCATGCACGTAAAGTTTGCAACTTTACGCGGAAACCATGCCTTAGTAGGCTAGATCTGCAATCTGAAGTTTTGGGGTAGCTTAAAAAGGTTCGAACACAAAAAGGACTGAAGGAACTCGTCGAGTCCCTTAACCAACTCGACGAGTCTTGTAGGGTTTACCCGTTTTCGAGATTTTGAGTGATTGCTGTGAAGGATTGGGGTTTTCGGTCTTCTAAACATTGAGGAAATCAATGAGTTACACAGGTAACTCAGCGAGTTGACGAGTTACTCGGGTAACTCGACGAGTTGTTGGATGCACTCGACGAGTTGAGGTCAACATGGACTGTTGACCTTAACTTTGACCAAGGTTGATTTTGAGGACATTTATGGTATTCCAGGATTATGACAAGTTAATCACATGATGATTATAGGCAGTTGAGTTGGAGCAGCGATTGGGATTTATTTGGTCTTATCTTATCAGTTCAGCATTCACGAGAGGTGAGTCTCCTCACCATACCAATGGGTCGAAGGCACCAAGGTCGGCCCATTATTGTTATGAGTTGTGATTAGTTGGTTATGGGATATGTGATATGTTAGTTATTGTGATACTCGCATGAAAGACCTTAGGGGGTTCCCGAGGCACTTATATGTAAGACCTTGGAGGGTTTCCATGGCATTCTAGTATATTTGCTTATATGGTTTGTATGTCATCTCTTGATTGTAAAGACCGTGTGGGGGTTCCCACGGCAGGAAGACCATGTGGGGGTTCCCATGGCAAGAAGACCATGTGGGGGGTCCCATGGCAGTTAGTTAAGACCACGTGGGGGTTCCAGTGGCACTAGGTGTAAGACCCTGGAGGGTTTCCATGGCTTCCTTATATGTTGTATGCATGGCTTATGTGGTTTATGTAGCTCTTATAGCTAATATGATTATGTGTTTTTGTGGATTGTGTGGGTATGCTCAGGGGAACTCACTAAGAATTAGCTTACAGTCTGATGATTGTTTCAGGTACTTCTGAGCCTAAGCGCAAGGGCAAGGTCTGATGGTGCGGCATGCACTCTCACAGACATTTTTCTTTTAGGACACTCTGATATTTGAGATAAAAATTGTTGATGTATGGATTTGAAAACAATTGCGTCGAGATTTTATGGATAATTAGAAATGTTTTGTAATTTTAAAAAAATGAAAATTTTCTTTTGAAAATTGGATCGTTACATCATAAGGTCCATGGCAACATTAAAACTATCAACTGTATAGGCTCTACAAGCCTCCCAAAAAATTCTTTTAACTGTCTTACTCTTCCAGTATCTAGCTACTATGTTGAAATAAAAATGGACACCACATATTCCGTGATGAGCGTGAGTAAAAATGTTTGCAACAGATGTCGCTATAGATGGAGACCTATCAGATATAATTGTAAGATCCTCCATATTGCCTATGCAATCACGTAGTTTTTGAAAAACCATGTCCAAGAATCTGTACACTCATTTTTGCATATATCATACGCAACCGGTAATATTTGGTTTTGTCAGTCCTTAGTAACTGGAAATAACATGGTACCTTTGAACTCGCCCTTTAGGTGGGCCCCATCTACTACAAGGGCCGGCTTACAAAAATTGACAAAAACGCGTACCTACAATACATTGTATATCTATTCAAATACACTAATTATAGTTAGGTACACCAAAAATAAAAATGATAATAATGTAATATAATAATACTAACCGAGCAACCAAGTGCGACATACAAGAACTCAACCCGATCATCACCATCTGTTTGAATATGTGTCACCGTACCCAGATTATGTTTGACCAAATTGTGGAAATAAGCTGGAAGTTTGGTGAAAGAATCCTCTTTCGTACCCCTTAACAACAACAGTGCATATTGTTTCGCACGCCAAGCCTGATGGTATGAGATATTGATTTTCAATTGAGCATTCATATCATTAATAATATATTGTCCCCGATATACTTTACTATAATCTTCAGCCAAAACATCAACAATATATTCACCCAAAACATATTTGTTTGTTTTTCGATGATTAGGTTGCAAAATTGTTGAAGAACATGTATGTACGTCAACAAATTTATTCACGTGGAAAAGTCCGCCAGAATTTTTAATTCATTTTGCTCTTAGTAACCAAGAACAATTTTTCCCAACACACACAACCTCATACCTTGATTTGGTCGATCTACTTGTCCTCGTCTGAAAACCTTCTCGAATACATTTTTTTCCCAATCGCCCGTTTTAGAAGGTCTTTGTTCTTAAATATATAGAGACAATCAATCTTTTGATGATTGATGTCTACCATCTGTGATGGGGTATCTTTATTAACATCAAGTGGACATGCTGGTAGAGGGGGCATACCGTAAAAAATGTTATCGGGAAACTTAGCTTTACGTTCATCACCCAACTCATCTCCATCAGAATTGCTTTCTAAGTCGGTTATATGTAAAGCTACATCAACAACATCAACAAAATCCTCGTAAGCATGTACATTTTCATCTTTCTGAATCATAACTTTTTCCTTTTTACTATTATTTACTACACCCTTATTCATAACTTTAACTTCTTGTTGGGGAACATCAACATAACGACCACCCACATCATTAAGATATGTACCAACATCATCATCACCAACGTATTTGTAATTTTCAGGATCCACATAGTGAATAGGTGAATACCTCACATTAACATTTTCAGCAACACTATGAAATTGAGGTACACTAGGAGTCATGAAAGTAACTATTGGATTGTTGCTCCCTTTATCGTTACATAAGTTAGCAACTGGCTCATTTCCACTGTCGCCACCCTCCGTAACCGCATCACCTTCATCAGCCACCACAAAGACTTTCACAGCCCTTCGCCAATCGATTTGATTACGTTGATCAACATTCTAACATCCATGTCTTCAACTATGGCTATATAATGATTCAATTCAGGATGATGGAAACGAAGACTAATTTTATATTTGTCTAACAAACCGGTTTTCCTTCTCACCAAAGATACAAACTCACTAATTCAACTATGGCTAAACCGGTTTTCATTCATTTTATTAGAGAGGTTTTAAAGAAATTTTCCAAAGAAATAACAACTAAAGTAATAATTTTTTGCAAAACTTTATATATAATAAGATTGTTTTTTAGTTAAACCCTATCAATTTCGTAGTCAAAATATTAAAAAAAATTCCAAAATCGCAGTTGGAATGAGAGGAAATCGCAGATAAACTTATTTCATCTGCGATTTTAAGCATACAAAGCAGGTATTTATACAGCAAAAAAAATAATAAATAAATAAATAAATAACCATCTACGAACATACAAGTAGCTAAAGTACGGATGTGCTTTAGCGATTTGTACATTCGCAGATGGCTTGCTAAAATCGCAGATAGGTTTAGTCCATCTGCGATTTTGGTGGCTAAAAATGAAATTTAGGTTTTTTTTACTATTTTCCAAAAAATAATTAACATATTTGGCTAAATTTGCAATTTTCTTTTAATATTAAATCAATGAGATAAATAGAATTATTAAAGACAAAAGGGTTCAATATTCAGCCTATCAAACTAAATTGACCATTCAAATGGTCAATAAAAATTAACAGACAAAATCATATTCTCCAAAGGTGTTAATTATCTTACAACTCAACCAAATAGTAAAAAAACTCTAAAAAAAACTTATATTAAGGACGTTTGTAGATAATATAGATGTGACCGTTCTTGTTTGTATCCAAATAGTTAACATAAACTAGATAAGTGCCCCCGCTTTGCGGGGGTTGGAAGCCTTCGATGAAAAGTTAATTTGTATTGTTGTAAGTATTATCCAATTTACAAAGCATTATTATTGTTCTAACTATGTACATATAGTTCAAGACTTAAGCTTGTTTGAGCCACAAAACAAAAGTCCAGGGTCTTTGGGGGCCATTATTTACCTTAAATATGAAGGAAAACTAAAAAACATTTTCTATTTTTAAGCAATCCTTAATAGAACAAAAACCCAAACAAAAAAAAACTTAATTTATTAAAGACCCACAAAACGTAAAGTCGCATTGCATATTTTGATTGAAAATATAAAGGCAAAACACATTTTGGGCGTGTTCGCCAGAATTAGTTGGTAGCGGGTGGCTTGTAGCGGGTAGCTTGTAGCTTGTAGCGTTTTGTTAAACGCTACATGAAGCAGCATTTGGATTTGGAGCGTTTTGTTTAAACTAAACGCTAGAAGCTTGTAGTGTTGAACGAGGCTTTCTGTTTAAAACGAAGTGTTTTGTCAAACGCTAAAAGCTAGAAGCTCTCAAACGCTCCGTGCCGAACACGCCCTTTGTTCTTCAAAGAAAACAATTACATTAAGATAAACAGCACGGGAGTTAAATCACCATGGGGCATTCATTGTTCACAACAATTTATGGACCTGCAAAACAGAAATAAATCATCAAGCAATATTACAATAAAATATGGAGTTTTGGTTTGGATATCAGATTTGGAAAGTTAAAAAAATACAAAAATTACGGAATTTTATAAAATTATAGAAAATCCTAATACATTTCAACATCCATAAGCTTTTTTGTGCCATTCGGATACATTTCAAAACCATATGCTTGTCTTTCTGTACCATATTACTAATTTTTCTATTTAAAAAATATAATTACAAAGAAATAGAACTTGAAATATACATGATGTTAGTTGTTGTTGTTGTTAACTTTGTCTGAACCTGGATGACATAAAATAAACCAAAACCAGTAATTAAAAATCATTTTTGAAAACAAAAAAACTTAGAACTACACATACGATATAGTACGCACTCCATACACATATGCATTACACACCTTTCAAGTTTGTACATCAGCAGTAGTTCCAAAAATATCCATACAGTTTTCATTTACCATAGCATCAGGTTTAGGGGGATAAGATTGTCTTTTTTTACCTGAAATACATAGAAGCCATTAGTTTTTAGGTGATAATTGCAAATCTTGCATACAAAATCCTAGAATTTATTGTTATGATGAGCAACTTACCAACAAAGTTGATCATGATGCAAAAAATAGCATTGTACTTTCTAAAAAAAATAAACAGAAATGAAAAAAATTAAATCTCGATAAATATGAAAATTAAATAGTATGTTGCTATAAAGTACTTATAAAAGATAAAATAGTAAATGTTTCCTCATTTTTATTAATCCAAAATGTAAAATGAACTGAAATAAGTATGTTGCCACATAATGCAAGGAAACTTACAAAACAGTGTTGAGGAAAGCATCCGTAACAGCTTCTTTAGTGGGTAATGCCGAAATTGCCCCTCTCTTTGTCACATTAACTGCACCACGAGTATTTGCAAAACTCAAAGCCTCTCTTAGCCTCTTCTCATCCTGCAATAGTGACAAATCTTCAACAACTTTTGATAAAAATCCAGCCACAAAAAAGTCCCCTGCACCCGTTGTAACATTGCTATTTTCCCGAATTGAACCAAAAGAGCACTAAAAAAAATACCTAAATGGTAAGGTTGAATTGTAGAATGGAATGTTTTAGTTGCTGCTGAGGTGCTTCAAATCCTTTTCTTGGTGTGTAACTTATTCTATACTTATTCTATACCCCTCCACTTCAAGTTTCAATTTACTAACTACAATAAGGAAATGGTATAAATTTAAGTTTACCATGAAAAATTATCGGGTGCACGTGACATATAATAAGGGCATCTTCATTCACAGTGAAATATTATTCATACATTCCAGAGAAATGGTTACACATGCCATTGACAAATTAAGTTGTATGCTGTAAAAAAAATCTTAAAAAATGACGTTTTAGAACATCAACTTTATTCTCATCTAAAACTTGAATATCTAATTCTTATATAAAATTGGGAATATGAAAAACTCAAGAACATAGATGATACAAAAAAATTAGTTGAAGTAACATTAAATACCTTTGCAGCAAAGGACAGACGCGATTGAATCCTGTTGTCCATTGTTTTCAATGGCTTCTTCATTAAAATGTCTGAAATCTAGGAGAGGAGATCCGGTTCCAGATCTAAACCATGATGTTGGTATGAACTGATTCCTATTCTACAAATAATTGCATAACCAAAATTCAACTATAGTATAACACCACAAAGGAATACAATAATAATAATAATAATAATAATAATAATAATAATAATAAAATCGATTACATGAAGACATAGAGCCCGGATTCTACCTTTCGATTGTCAGATTCAAAGTAACGTAAGTGTTATTTGCTTGTTAATTAAGTTCACATGTCAGGCCCATAACAGTCTCATTTCTCAACTTCAAACCAAGTTGATCTGCCACTTTCAAACCAACACCAACCTGACTTCATTTTTTATTATAAGATGTCTTTTATCTTTTACTTTGTTTTTAATGATAAAATAAACATGGGACAGAACGAAAAAACATTAAAAAAACCCTACAGTTTAAAAAGGACTATTATGCCCCTTAGTTTAATTTTTTTTTATATATCATTAACAAATTAGTTGGACCCATGATCCATCATCCCTACGCTTACCCCCAATTTAATAATAAAATAAACATAGGACAGGGACCTGTGTTGAAAAGAGCTAAGTGCAGTTCCAATTCTACTCGATTTCAATTTAAGTTGTGTTGAGATTGAAGCTGTTGTTGCTTTCTCAACATTCCATTTCAATTTTTGCTAATCTGAAATGCAATTGTTGCTTTCTTTGATCTCAATTTGAATTGATAGCTTGTTTTAAGTTAAATTGGCTGAGTCCTTTACCATTTTTATGTCCGCCGATTGTTGCAAGTTGAGGACGTCTTTTCTTCTTATAACTATAAAGAAACAAATATTAGTTGATAAGAAACTATAGAAAATTAACATGAAAATTAGATTTTCCATTCTACTCCTTGATTGAGCAAGCCATACTGAAATTAGAACAAAAAAAGAAGTTCATTTAAGTTGTTTTGAGATTGAAGCTGTTGATACAGAACAATTTGTTATTCACAAAAAATTAAACACTTTACCACTTAAAACGCACAAAAACATACATGCAGAGTTTGTTGAGATTGATAGAACTGAAGAGATTCTAGTGATATCATCTTCCTGGCGTTGGCGTATGTCATCTTCCTTCAAGATAGTATAATTCTTCTAAAATACGGAAGAAATATACAGCTCTGAATCTTTTTGTATAAAAACTCAATGTTCTTCAAAAACACATATCAATGGAAAGCATATAAAGCAACATAACATCTTCAATCATGTTCAACATTTCATAAAAGTACCAGATTTCACAAACCAACAATACAAATTAGGTCAAAACGTTTTGTTGATCATAAACCCAAAAAATAAAATTTATTTAGATGATTAAATATTTGATTGAAAAGATTATGCGTAAGAATTTGATGTTTATTCATTTCTAACAGCAAACAAAAATATTGAACTCTTACCTTTATGCCTCCATCAATGGAATTAGGTCGAGATAATCTGGCGTAAATATCCCTTTTACACAAATCAAATAGCCATCTCTTAAAACTTCGTATTATCCATATATGAAGCCCGATCAGCAACCTGTTACCTGAAAAGTCATAAAAAAAATGAAGGTTATGAGGATATTAAAAAAGTCGAGTTGTTTATAGCTACATGAATCAAAAATCATGATTACCATATCAAAATTACAGATTACAAACATGTTTGGAGTAAAAAATTAACTAATTACTAACAAATTCTGGATGAGGTATATTTACAAACACGTGGGAACGTACCACCTGCGATATCTTCTTCTCACCGCAGGTTTCTGGTTGGAGAGCATTTGACGGCATAGCGTTTTCATGGCGGGTGAAGTTGTTGTTGGTGGTGTTCCTATGGGTAAAGTCAGCTGGTATACTGATAATCTAGACTCCACTTTGGTCTCCAAATCTTCAATTGTGTGTATGTGCGAGTACCAGACTTGCAATACATTCCAAGAAAGCTTCAAGGAAGAAGACAAAGAATGAAAGGTTCAGAGACGAAGACGGCGTGAAACCCATCAGAAAAACGGAAACAGAGCCGACATCAATAGACACAAAAGAGTAATCTGATAAAAGATCAATCGATCTAACCTAGACTGAAATAAAATTTTCAGAAAATGGGATTTAAGGGAAGTTAGACTGTGGCGACACCATCTCGTCGATCTCTTCAACCATAAATTCAGGCGGCGGAGCTCACAACAGCTAAGGTCAGAGGAGAAGAGGAGAACTAAATGCCAATAGAGAAACGAACCGGTAGTCAGTAGCCGACAGGACAAAGGGAGAACGAATGAGGAGTTTTGTAGGTGTTGGTCTGAGAAGACGGAACAAAAGGTGTGGAAGAAACCTAGTAATGGAAGCTACTGGAACAGATATACCACATATACAAAAAGACGGTAAGATAAAGATGAAATACAAAGAAACAACGTGTTGATATGATCAACACGTGTACCAACTGATTACATAAAACACCCGTATAGAAAAACAATCCCAAGCTGCAACAAAACATATACATAAAGGACCATTTCTGGCAACCTCTTAAGAACTTTACTATTCCTAAGAGGTGCACAACTTTAATATATATATATATATATATATATATATATATATATATATATATTTTTTTTTTTTTATTTTGTTGGTTTTATATTGTTTGTTTTATAAATTAAAAATTAAAAAAATTGGGTGTACTTCACCTAATCAGCTAAAGTTACGGACTAATTCAAAAGTGTTGAAAAATCTAATACATATGTTTATCACGCCTATATCTTCTCTACAACGACCAGCCGACGACATCGCACCAATGGCCACCTCCGAGGACTCACTCCGACGAGGTCTTGCTGAGAAACAATCAACGATCGACGCGAGCGGCAACTCGATACGCCAATTGAAGTCTTCCGGCGCATCAAATTCGGAGATAGACGACGCCGTTAAAGCACTCAATGCTTTGAAACTCGAGAAAACATCGATCGAGACTCAACTGAAAGCTTCCATTTCTGGTGATGCTTACGGCTCTGTTATGAGCAGGGATGCGTTCCGTCAGGCCGTCGTTAATACGCTCGAACGGCGTCTGTTTTACATTCCCTCGTTTAAAATTTACAGAGGTGTTGCTGGTTTATATGATTATGGTCCTCCTGGTTGCGCCGTTAAGTCTAACGTTCTTGCTTTCTGGCGTCAGGTATGTAGAGTTTTATCTGTAACTTTAATCTTCATGATTGAAATTATTCCGCTATATGTTCATAGTTTGCTCTTCTGCTCTAAAATGCATTCGACCTTAAGAGTACAATCTCTGAAATGCATACGCCATTCATTTCGGAATAAGTTTTGCCGCTGATTACGAACGGGTTGCCCTTTTAAGATCAAAATCGATTCGAGTTATAAAATCTATTTAGATAATTTACTAGATATAGGGTTTTGAACTTAACCCTCTTCATTTCACAATTGGGCAGATTCAATCTGAACATGATTGTTTTTTGTTTTTTTTTTTCTCTCCAAATCATTTGTCGTTTGTTTAAGTTTACCAACAAGCATTTTATGTTAACAGGATTAGTAGATAATATTTCTGCTTAAACTTTCTCAGCATTTTGTTCTGGAGGAGGACATGCTAGAAGTTGATTGTCCTTGTGTCACCCCTGAAGTTGTCTTGAAAGCATCTGGTCATGTTGATAAGTTTACTGACCTTATGGTTAAAGATGAAAAGACTGGAACATGTTACAGAGCTGATCACCTTCTTAAAGATCATTGTAAAGATAAGCTTGAAAAAGATCTGGCTATGAGTGCTGACAAGGCTGCTGAACTCAAACACATTCTTGCTGTTCTGGATGATCTTTCAGCTGAGGAACTCGGTGCAAAGATCAAGGAATATGGCATTGTTGCACCTGACACTAAGAATCCTCTCTCAGTCCTTACCCTTTCAATCTCATGTTTCAGACCTCAATTGGTTCTTCTGGCGTGAGCCCTGGGTCAGTATTATATCTCATATTAATCATCTACTATTTTCAGATTAGTTTACTTCATAATTGCAATGATTCTGCCTTTACATTCTTCATATTTGCAACTGTCTTCATTTAATATGGTTCAGGTACATGCGTCCTGAAACAGCACAAGGCATATTTGTTAACTTCAAAGACTTATACTATTACAATGGGAACAAGCTACCCTTTGCTGCTGCTCAAATTGGTCAAGCTTTCAGAAATGAGGTCATTTGCTTTTTATCCCCAAAATACCAATCTTGTTCTTTCTTTCTTTTTTGTTAATGTCCACTCAAATTGGATTTTCTTTCTGGTTCTCCTGTTTTTCGGTTTTTAGTTGAATGAAGCAATAAAATTTTGAGTCGGATAAGTGGTCTTGTTGAAGTCAAATTCCATGAAAGCATGAATAAGATACTTCTCGAATTTCACAATATAGAATAGCAAAAAACTTTCTAGAAGTTTATATCTAAAAACGATGTTCTCTGGAAATTGACATTTTGTTGTCATCTTTCTTCAGATATCTCCTCGACAAGGTCTTCTAAGAGTTCGTGAATTCACACTTGCAGAGATCGAACACTTTGTGGATCCTGATGATAAATCACACCCAAAATATTCTGAAGTTAAAAACCTCGAGTTTCTTATGTTCCCAAGGGATTTACAAATGTCAGGCCAATCTGCAAAAAGACTTTGTCTTGGTGAAGCCGTTTCTAAGGTTAGTTGTTACTCAAAATTTTAGAGCAAACTACAGGAAACAGCAATTAAACACGATTTTCCTCATAATAGCAATGTATTCACGTCTATTAAACACAATTTATTTCAGGGGATTGTGAACAATCAAACGCTTGCATACTTCATCGGAAGAGTATATCTATTTTTGACACGTTTAGGGATCGATGAAGAACGTTTGCGTTTCAGGCAGCATCTTCCAAATGAGATGGCCCACTACGCTGCAGATTGTTGGGATGCTGAAATCGAATCCTCTTATGGTTGGATCGAATGCGTTGGCATTGCTGATAGATCTGCATATGACCTACGTGCACACACGGTAAATTACATTTTGGTCCCTGATTATAGCTGATTTGGTGTTCATGTGGACATATGACGTGGCAGGCTTTTTGAGACAATTGTAAATTACATTTTTGGTCCCTGAGTATAGCTGATTTTTGCAAGTTTGATTGTTGGAACTTTTTTTTTTTTGTCCATGTAAGTGGAATGATTGATTTTGATCCTTGAGTATAGCTAATTTTTGCAATTTTGATCCCAAAAGTATATTTATTTTACTTGGAAGAGGATTAAAAATGTTACAAAAACCTCAAATAAGGACCAAAGTTGCGAATAAAAACTTTTGGGGACCAAAATTTAAAATTTCAACTATACTCATATACCAAAATTGTGAGTTACTTTTGAACAATTTCATTAAACAGTAACCAATTTTCAGTTTTGTTCCATTGTTGTGTAATTTTATTTGGTGATGTTGGTTTTGAATTTTGATAGTTTGATATTGATGTTCTTTGTGTTGATTATTGTATTGATGTCTTTTTGACATGTAATAACATTGCGTACATTGATTTTTGGTAAAATGAAATTGCTTTCAAGATAGAAACCTTAACAACATTTGTTCAATCTTTTAAATAAACAATACGTCAAAAAACAGATTAAAAATATTAACTTCAGGTTATGAATTTAAAAACTAGGTTTAAAAACTTTCAAAATGAAATTGCAATTTATTCAAATATCATTGTAAAAAACCTGCCATGTCATGTTTTTACATTCATGCCATGTGAGTAAGTAATAATTTTTTTTATAACAATGGAACAAAGAACACAAAATTTCAAAAACACTAGTGGAATTAATATGAGATTTGGTTACTATTATACTTATAATGCAGTTATTGTAGGGATGATAATTGACAATGTTTCTAATGATGTTCTGGATTCTTGTTTTTCATAGGACAAAAGTGGTGTTGCTCTTGTAGCTCAAGAGAAATTTGCACAACCTAAAGAAGTTGAGGTAATTTTTCTACTTTTATATTATTTATGGAGGAAATTGCTAAATCTCGGTGTATTTTTTTTTTCTTTTAAGAAACTGGTTATAACACCTATTAAGAAGGAGGTTGGGCTTGCATTCAAGGGTAATCAGAAGATGGTAGTTGAAGCATTGGAGGTAAACAAATTCTTCTCTTGCATCATTTTTTACACTCAAAATCATATTGGAAATTTACAATACAAGCTCAAGCAAATTTCAATTTCTGATTTCCTGATTTATGTAGGCGATGAGTGAAAAAGAGGCGATGGATATGAAATCTGTTTTGGAAACGAAAGGAGAGGTGGAGTTTGAAGTTTGCACTCTTGAGAAAACTGTTACAATAACCAAAAAAATGGTGACAATATCAAAAGAAAAAAAGAAAGAACACCAGAGAGTTTTTACACCTTCTGTGATCGAACCTTCTTTTGGCATTGGTCGCATCATCTACTGTCTCTATGAACATTCTTTCTACATGAGACCAAGCAAAGCCGGAGATGAACAGTTGAATGTCTTCCGTTTCCCCCCTCTTGTGGCCCCCATCAAATGCACTGTTTTCCCATTGGTTCAGAATCAGCAATATGAGGAGGTTGCTAAAAATATCTCCAGATCTCTGACTGCAGCCGGGATTTCAAACAAAAAAGATATTACAGGTTTGCCATTCGCTATTTCTTTACTTCTCATAGGAAAATGTGCACTTCTTATCTTAATATTGTATATATGTATGTATAGGTACGTCAATAGGCAAAAGATATGCGAGAACAGATGAGCTGGGTGTGCCGTTTGCTGTGACTGTGGATTCCACGTCATCAGTCACAATCCGTGAAAGGGACAGCAAGGATCAAATCCGTGTCAGCATTGATGAGGTGGCGGCTGTTGTCAAGGAGGTTTCTGAGGGTCGTGCCACATGGGCGGATATCTTGAACAAATACCCTGCCCACACTTCTCTTTCTGTGAAGGAGGTTTTTTGGCAATTTTTTAGTTTTTTTAAGAGTTTTGGAACTTTTCGTAATTTCTTTACTTTATAGGCGTTGTTGAGTTGCAAATCTCGAAACTGATGATCTGGTATTTTTATGTATAGTGGTTTGATATTGTTTATGCTTTTATGATGTAATTACCACTATGTATAGTGCTTAGTTAATGTAATTAAGCCTAAGCTTCCTATAAACTTCTAATCTATATCTTGTATTTTCACTCTAATCAACAAAGTACTAAAGCTTTGACCAGATGGCAGATGACTTGTATTTTTACTGTTTGATTCATGACTGATTTGGAATGGCAATAGGGCGGGGCAGGACATCCCATCCTTGACCCGATATCAAAATTTGTTCCCATCCCCGACCCTATACTGTGGGTTTCTTACCGGGGCTGAAAATTTCCCCAAACCCAACCCTAAACCAAAATCCAAAATCTATGCCAAAACAATTAAATTTGTTTGGAAAAAACTATAATGGAACAATGAAAAATTAAAATCTTACATAACATCATTTAATCAAATAGAAATTAATAGAAGTCTAATATTGTTACAAAAGCAACCAACCAAGACACCAAATACAAAATATGAAAAACCAAATCCATCATAATAGTACGTTAAATTTAAACATTAAACAAACTCAAATTCAAACAAAATCATCAAAACTTGTTGTTCCACTTTCTTTAGTGTCTTCCTACAAAATGTTAAACAAACCCAAAATCAAACCAAAACATCCAAAGTATATAAAAGTAATATTCTTATTAGCGGTCATTTTACATCCTCCACATCATAATCAAATTCAACATAACAACAATATGTCTCTTCCGAACAAATTGTTGTATATAAGAAAACATAAAACAATTTTAGAAAAATAATACTAATATGCAAAAACGGTTTATATATTAATATACAATAGTATATTAGCTTGAATTTCATTCAACAACCAACTTTGAGCACACATTAAAGCCTCCAATATCTATTTTTGTTAGTAATAATGAATTCATATTTGTATTTCATTGCACTGTAAAATCCCTATTTATAAAGTTTCCTATTGTGAACCAAATGTTATTCGGAAGATACAAGATTGTGTGCCCAAAAGTTTATGCAAAACTCTTAGTGAGCCCAAATAAAATAAAATAAAAGTAAAATCAAAATGAAAAAATTGAAACCAAAACAAAACCAAAAGACTCAAATCCAAACCTAATAAAACGGACATCATCGAACTAGGTTTATTAGTTTTGAGATCCAAAAACTCCCACCTATTTTATGATATGATCATATTTCACTTCTGCCAAGCTTGTATATGTCTTTATCCACTATGTATTTAGGTACGGCTTTGTAAATTTATCAATTCTTAAATCTTCATAATAACAAGAATTACCCATTCAAACTTTTTCCGACAAGCAAACCAAATAAAGAGAGGACTACGGTACAAAACTCGGGATGTTGGTGGGGTAGTGGTATTAGGGTAGATTTATTTTTATTTTTGTTTTATTTAATTACGTAAATTGTGAAGTAAATACAAAGAAAAAGGAAAAACCAAATATAAAGGGTAAAAATATCATTTTACACACTTTCAATTTTAAAACGAACCAAACTCGCAACAAAATGAAACTTTTAAACCAATGGTATAACTCCAAAACTTTTTGAACGACAGTGACATTTTTACAGTTGAGAAATTAAATATATTTCCTACATTTTCTTCTTATTATCGTTCTATCCATAATTTCATTAAATATATCATTAAATGTGACACATGTTAACATTTAATAGGAAAGTGATTCTTACACAACAATTTTTTTATCATACACAACAATTTAGACTGTTGGGTGTGGGCAACATGTTATTACATGTTACCACACCCAAAAGGTGTCACATCATCATCATAGTCATAAATAGGTGTTATAACACCAAATGTGGAAATGGGCAACATCAAATAACATGTAATAACACCCCTTATTTTCTATTTTATTTTTTATTTTTTATTTTGATGTTTTTAGTTTCTATATTTCGAATTTTTTTTTTGTCATAATATTTATAATTATAATATAAATTAAATCATAAATTAAAAATAACATTTAAAAAGTAAAAATTTTAATTTAAATCCAAAATTAAAAAAAACATAAAAAAATTACAACTAAGGTTAAAAACACATTTACAAACCTAAAAAAAAAAAAAAGACAAAACAAATTACATTTTCGATCTAAATTACTCAACTTCAGTGTCATCATAGATATGTCAAGTCTTCTTGAAGTTGTTTGTGTTTTCGTTGGTCTTGAATATTAACGATTCTATGTAAGTATTTTGCCGTCACTAGTTGAAATTGAATGTGTCCAGGTTTCGTAGGCGAATACTCTGTGATGTTTCGTCCTTTATCTTTAATCACCATGTTATGCATAATGATACATGCATACATAATATCTCGTAGTGTGTCCAACTCACATGCTCGTGTCGCATGTTCAACTATGTGTCATTTTGCTTTCAGAACTCCGAAAGCACGTTCCACGTCCTTACGTGCTCCTTCTTGTCTTTTCTTGAAAAATTTATCTCTTGGTTCTATCGGGTGTCGAAACGTCTTCACAAATGTGGAATAGATTAGGTATATTCCATCCGTGAGGTAATACCCGAACTTATACTTATGGCTATTTACTGTGAAAGGAGCATCCGATGTCTTTCCTATCAAAAGGTCCTAAAATATTGGTGATTGATCAACAACGTTTACGTCCTTGTTAGAACCCGCAACTCCGAAAAAAAACATGTCAAATCCATAAGTCTTGTGACGCAACAGCCTCTAATACTAACAAAGGCGATCCAAAATGACCACTTGTGTATTGACCTTTCCACGCCACATGACAATTTCTCCATATCCACTTTGTGCATTCAATGCTTCCAAGCATTCCCGAAAAACCATGTCGTTCTTCATGCGCCGCATATAGTTATTGCATGTCATTTAATGAAGGTTTGCGCAAATATTTGTCACCGAAGGTTTCAATAACACCTTTCACCAATCTATACAAACTTTCTCGTGCATTTCGCTCTGACATTGTCATATAGTCATCAATAGAATCGGGCGATTCCCCTAAAGCCATAAGCTTGATTGCAGCAACACATTTTTGCAACCCTGTAAAACCTCGTTTACCTCTCGCATCATACTTTAGTTGGAAATATTCATACCTAAACATATAATAAATTTTTAAAACAGTTATTTAATAATCTAAAGAACATATAATAAATTATTAAAATAATTATTATATCTAAAGAACATATATTATATTTTTAAAACAATTATTTAATAATCTAAAGAACATATATTAAAATTTTGAAACAACTGTAATCACGGTACCTACTTTCCATTGCATTGACTGTCCGTTGAAACACATTTTTCCGCAAACAAAACCTTCTTTTAAAATCGATTGGTTGGTAGACACAATTATCCACAAAATAATCGTCTAGTAGACGTCTATGCCTTTCTTCATGATCTCTGTTCAACGCCGCACGTCTGGTCAGTAGTGGAGCTGGCTCTGGCGGTATCATGTCGGTAACATATTGATACATCATACTCACAAACATATCATCATCGTCGATATCATGATTGTATGGATGAAACGGATCAAAATAGTTCCATTTTTTAAATAAATAGAGTAATAGAAAAAAAAAATGAAATGAATAGTAATTGTTGAAATGATTTGTTGGGTTTGGAAGATAAAATGAAGATAAAAATGTTGTGTATTTATATTAATGGAGATTTTTATTTTTATTTTCATTTTTTTTATTTTTAATGTTGGTGACCGTTTGCAAACAGTCGGATTTTTAAACGTTCCAAACAAATTAGCCAATCACATTAGCGGTTTCATTCCGTCACCACCATAACATATGTTAACATAACACCTAATAACGCAAGGGGGCGCGGTGTTTCGGGCGTTATAACGCCGTTTTTGTGTGTCCGCGTCGGAATAATGGCAACTCCCGTTGCCCACTCCTAGCGGTCTTATGCATTATAGAGTTGCATAATACAACATTTTAAATTACAAATTGTTGTGTACGAAGAAAAAATGTCGTTTACTAATCGGTTCCTAAAATAACAAGTAAGAATAAAATGTTGGAGTTTAAACATGGTACCTTTTTTGTATGTACGCTTAGGCATGCACAAAAAAACCGGTTCAAGATCCGAACCGGTAAACCGGTTTACGCTGAACCGGTCCACAGTGAACCGAACCGGTTTGAGAACCGAACCACCGGTTTACACCCGTTCGAGATTTTAGTCATTGAAACCGGTTTAGAACCGGTTTATATCGTGTGAACCGGTTTGGAACCGGTATGGAACCGAATCGAACCGATTGAACCGGTTTAGAACCGGTGTAACCGGTTTAGATAGGTTCGACTAATTTTTTGAGTGAACCGGTTTGAACCGAACCGGTTTGAGGCTGAACCGGTTTTGCTTGGCTAGGGAGTGAACCGAACCGGTTTAAAGAACCGGTTCAGTTTGAAAAATGAACCGGTTTGTGCATCGTAAGCTCCTTATTGCCTAATCATAATAATTTCTAAATATCCGGTAGAATCTTTTAGTGGTTTACATCTGAGCCCAACTACAGCCCAAAAACCTAAAACCCTAATCCTACCGCCGGTGGTGGGGCCATTGATCGGAACGCATGCGTTTACATTCCGCTATCTTATCATCACTCGCTCACCACCGCATCACCTCCAGATTCCGCCAGATATATTCTCTACAACGACCGGCCGACGCCATCGCACCAATGGCCACCTCCGAGGACTCACTTCGACGAGCTCTTGCTGAGAAACAATCCACGATCGATGCAAGCGGCAACACGATACGTCAATTGAAGTCTTCCGGCGCATCAAAGTCGGAGATAGACGAAGCCGTTAAAGCACTCAATGCTCTGAAACTCGAGAAAACATCGATTGAGACTCAACTGAAAGCTTCCATTTCTGGTGATGCTAACGGCTCTGTTATGAGCAGAGATGCGTTTCGTCAGGCCGTCGTTAATACGCTCGAACGACGTTTGTTTTACATCCCGTCGTTCAAAATTTACAGAGGTGTTGCTGGTTTATATGATTATGGTCCTCCTGGCTGCGCCGTTAAGTCTAACGTCCTTGCTTTCTGGCGTCAGGTATGTTGAGTTTTATCTGATTTTATAATCGCCACGATGACAATCATACCGCTTAAATTTTATACTCTCAGCTTGAAAATGCAATCGGCTTTGTGATATCCTGTTCATTTCGGAAATAGGATTTGCCGCTGTTTTCGAACTAATTGGCCTTTTCACCTCAAAATTGATATGAATCGCAAAACTTTCTGGATAGTCCAATATATACGAGGCTTGCAACAAATTTCATATTGATTTCAAATCTAGGATTTTTAAATTTTCGCATAAGGAATTGAAGTGTGTTGCAATTTGGGGGAGAAAGAGTATTGAATTTCAAACATGCAGCGCCAATGTGTGACTAATTTTTCCTTGTAGGTATTCGTCTCATTTTTTACAAAATGGACAGAATTCAATATGAGCTTGGTTGTTTTTTTTGTTATTTAGTTCCAAAAATTTCTATTGTCTGTACAACTAGGAGGATTGGTGTCTAATCTGAAGTAAAAGATAAATCATTTGACACACTTTTCCCAGAAGCAAGAGCATTAAACATGTATATTTAAGTATTTTTTATAATTAATACAACATGAATTCGGTATTTGGATACAGAAAGGGTATGCTATACCTTCCTTGAGTTTTAAAATTGTGTAGCTTAAAGCAAATTGCTACCAAGCATCCCTAAGAAAGACTGATGACTATTTAACAAACTATTAATTGACATATGAATCTGTTTGAATCATGAGAGAGCTTATTCATTGTCCGAAGATACAATAACATAAAAACTCAATACTGGAGATATGCCTCAACTAAACAAGAATAGATTGGATGTTGGAGATGATAATGGAGGATACTAATATCATTTTGCTTAAATTTTCTCAGCATTTTGTTCTAGAGGAGGATATGCTAGAAGTTGATTGTCCTTGTGTCACCCCTGAAGTTGTCTTGAAAGCCTCTGGTCATGTTGATAAATTTACTGATCTTATGGTTAAAGATGAAAAGACTGGAACATGTTACAGAGCTGATCACCTCCTTAAAGATCATTGTAAAGATAAGCTTGAAAAAGATCTGGCTATGAGTGCTGAAAAGGCTGCTGAATTCAAACACATTCTTGCTGTTCTTGATGATCTTTCAGCTGAGGAACTTGGTGCAAAGATCAAGGAATATGGCATTGTTGCACCTGACACTAAGAATCCTCTCTCAGATCCTTACCCTTTCAATCTCATGTTTCAAACCTCAATTGGTCCTTCTGGTGTGAGCCCTGGGTCAGTATTATATCTTATAATAATCATCTACTATTTCCAGATTATTTTACTTCATTATTGCAATGATTCTGCCTTCACATTCTTCATATTTGCAACTGTTTTCATTTGATATGGTTCAGGTACATGCGTCCTGAAACAGCACAAGGCATATTTGTTAACTTCAAAGACTTGTATTATTACAATGGGAACAAGCTACCATTTGCTGCTGCTCAAATCGGTCAAGCTTTCAGAAATGAGGTCATTTGCTTTCTTGAAAATTTAAGATTGCAACACGTGAATTTCATTCATGCTCTATGTATTTTTTTTAAGACATTAAATGATTATTCAAGTAATGAATTTATTTATATTCACTTAAAAAACGATGTTCTCTGGAAATTGACATTTTGTTGTCATATTTTTCCAGATATCTCCTCGACAAGGTCTTCTAAGAGTCCGTGAATTCACACTTGCAGAGATCGAACACTTTGTGGATCCTGATGATAAATCACACCCAAAGTATTCTGAAGTTGAAAAGCTTGAGTTTCTCATGTTCCCAAGGGATTTACAAATGTCAGGCCAATCTGCAAAAAGACTTTGTCTTGGTGAAGCTGTTTCTAAGGTTAGTTGTTATTCGATTTTTTAGAGCAAACTACAGGAAATAGGAATGTATTCACATCTATTCATTCATAGTAGCAATATGCAATCCATAATAGCTTTTAAACATGATTTTCTTCACAGGGGATTGTGAACAATCAAACACTTGCATACTTCATCGGAAGAGTATATCTATTTTTGACATGTTTAGGGATCGATGAAGAACGTTTGCGTTTCAGGCAGCATCTTCCAAATGAGATGGCCCACTACGCTGCAGATTGTTGGGATGCTGAAATCGAATCCTCTTATGGTTGGATTGAATGTGTTGGGATTGCTGATAGATCCGCATATGACCTACGAGCACACACGGTAACTGTTAATTATAGAAGGGCATTTATGTCTTTTGAACATACAAAGTTCCTTCGATTCCTTATTTATTGAAGATATGATGTTTTACGGTTTTACCATTATTTGTAACGAAGTTTTGGACTCTTGGTTTTCATAGGATAAAAGTGGTGTTGCTCTTGTGGCTCAAGAGAAATTTGCAGAACCTAAAGAAGTGGAGGTAACTGTTCCACTTTATTTTTTATTTTTTAATTGAGAAAGCTGCTAACAAATTGGTGTATTTCTTCTAGAAACTTGTTATTACTCCCATTAAGAAGGAGCTTGGTCTTGCATTCAAGGGTAATCAAAAAATGGTGGTTGAAGCATTGGAGGTAAACAAATTCTTCTCTTAACTATCAAACAGCCCCCCTATACACCATTTCTGATTTCCTGATTTATGTAGGCGATGAGTGAAAAAGAGGCGATGGATATGAAATCTGTTTTGGAAACCAAAGGAGAGGTGGAGTTTGAAGTTTGCACTCTTGAGAAAACTGTTGCAATAACCAAAAAAATGGTGACAATATCAAAAGAAAAAAAGAAAGAACACCAGAGAGTTTTTACACCTTCTGTGATCGAACCTTCTTTTGGCATTGGTCGAATCATCTACTGTCTCTATGAACATTCTTTCTACATGAGACCAAGCAAAGCTGGAGATGAACAGTTGAATGTCTTCCGTTTTCCCCCTCTTGTGGCCCCCATCAAATGCACTGTTTTCCCATTGGTTCAGAATCAGCAATATGAGGAAGTTGCTAAAAATATCTCCAGATCTTTGACTGCAGCTGGGATTTCAAACAAAAAAGATATTACAGGTTTGCCATTCGCTATTTCTTTACTTCTCATAGGAAAATGTGCACTTCTTATCTTATATTGTATATATGTATGTATAGGTACGTCAATAGGCAAAAGATATGCGAGAACAGATGAGCTGGGTGTGCCGTTTGCTGTGACTGTGGATTCCACGTCATCAGTCACAATCCGTGAAAGGGACAGCAAGGATCAAATCCGTGTCAGCATTGATGAGGTGGCGGCTGTTGTCAAGGAGGTTTCTGAGGGTCGTGCCACATGGGCGGATATCTTGAACAAATACCCTGCCCACACTTCAGCTTCTGCAGATGAGTGATCAGTGAAGTTGTAATGTAAGACAGACTCTTTGTTTTTTTTTTGGTGTTAGAAACAATGTTGCTGTTTGTTTTTAAATTCCCAACACGCCAATACTTTTCTCAACACATATCATGCATATCAGAATTTAGCGCTCATATAGTATAGGCTTGTTTTCGTCTTTTCACTTATGTTGGAAAAAAACAAATACAAGAACTTAATTTTTCTGTTGGTTGTGTTGTGGTGAGCACCTGTTTTTTCTTTTTTCCTGGATAAAGTGTTGATGTTGTGGATATATTTAATTTAACGAATATTTGATTGGAGCTATAAAGTCGAGTCTGGGGTTAACCTAACTAATAAGGTCTTAAAATCCCAGATTAAATAAAACAAGGGTCTATTCTTTAATAAGGGGAACGTGTCCAGGAAAAGAACGAATATATTCTCTCTTTTTTCCCTTTGATAGCCGTGTCATTCGACTTTTGGCGCAACAATCGAATTGCGTACATAAAATTAATATTAAACTTGGGTAAAGCTTTTCTTTATGACTAATTTCTATGTTCTTAAAGTTTACATATATTATATATTCTTTCATGTTTAAGATATATCAAATATTAACTAAATATCTCTTTGATTTCTCTGTCTTTTTCCTATTCATACAAAAAAAGGCTTTCTCCAAAAAATGTTGCCGTCTATTGGAACAAGTTAGAGATTATTAGAGGTGACAATTTTGGATCATTTATACGTGCATGATTCGTTTTGGGGTTGTTCTATCTTTCAAGATTTGAGTATATAAAACAAAAACTTTAGCTAGAAGGAAGCGAATCGGACGGAGCTAAAGCTCATGTGTATGTAACTTTAACATATGTTTTATCTTTAACGAGTTAATAAATAAAACAAAAAGTTAAACTAAAAAAGATCTGGCTCGATAGATTTAAAGTTGTCTAAAGGGTAATTTTAAGATATACAACATTTTTGAAATGCTTGATTTAAAGATCATATTAGTTTTGTAAATATATAGTTTTTCTGCAAACGTATTTTAGCAAATTAAATATCAATAATTTTTTACTAATGACAAAAATGTTTGTAGGTCAATCTCATTAAACCTGAACTGTTCCAAAAATGATTTAAATTTATAAATTCGATTACAATCCACTGTTTTTTTTATCTATTAATCTTTTTTATGATTACTAATGAACATATTGATGATTTTAGTATCATCAAGTTGTTTTAGTGTAATGAGATTTTAAAGATCACCAATGGAGTTCAAACTATGAATTTATACAAGTTGGGAGGTGCGATATCTTCGTGATAAGTAGGCATATGAGTTAAATATCAAATTCGGAAAGTGATTATATTATCCAGTCAGAAATCCAAGACCAATTCGTGATTCCAAAAACTACCCCGCTCTTTAATACTCCAATAGAACCTTTTAGATTTATGATTCTCAGTCAAATGATCTTACTAAAGTTTGGAATTTCAGTGAGATCGTTCTCAAATATAAAGTTTCCTTTAAAGCTTTTGACAAACGTGACATAGAGATAATGTCAAAGTAGGTGCATTGTTGACACAAAAAGTAATGCATATATTATCTATAATCACATTATAGACGATTTGAAAGGGATGCTACATATTATAGACGATTTGAAAGGGATGCTACACAACTTGAAAGCACCTTTGTTTCGTGTTAAATTTTTTGAACAGATAGAACAAATTTTCTTTTTAAGTGTCATAGAGAAACACTCAAACACAAACACATGTCAAGTCAAATATTATATTTTTTTAGCAGATAGAACATATCTATTTCTTCTTGGTATAATTTTCATCCAAAATTACTTTCTTGCCTACTAAACTTCTCACATAATCTTGGTAACCTTGATTTTCGTTAACAAACTTTCTTCTAATTTCAAAAATATTTGGTTGTTAGTTACGGGATATAAGAAGTGCAAAAAATATTGGGAAGGCAAGAGGCTTCTAATTAAGGTATTAATGATTTATTTTTGTAGTTGATGGTAGATCATTTAATTTTGAAATATATACTAAAAATATCATTGAATCACAATAGCCTTTGATTTGATTAGATCAATGGATGAAATTCTTTTTACGAAAATTTTCTTTTTTATTTTGATCTGGATTCATTAGGCATGTATATCTATTAAAAGTAAAATAAATTAACTTTTTTTTTTTATAATTTGAATCGTTTATGAAAAAAATATGTATAGTCATTTATAATATAAAAAAATAGTATCAAATACGACAATTTAAAGCTTCAAATCACTTTTGATAAACATATCTACAACCACTAAAATAAGTCTACAAGTTTCATCACAGCCCATGATAAATTTTCTTTACTCAAAATGAAAATGATTGCAAGTATGATTTATGGTTCCCATCCAGACTTTTCCAAAGTGGGTGAGGGGTATCTTGGTCTTTTCCCACATAAAACCTTCTTTACTTAGTTATACCCTATGCATCATTACTTGCCCCACGCAACATCAGTTGTACCCAACGCATCAGCAGTTGTACATTTAACTTTCCAAAAAGCTTCCAACACTTGTACCAATCACAATGGAATCCCCCAAAATCAGTAATACAAACCGTAACGGATTGGAGAATCCTTTCCATATTTTCATCAAATCTCTCCTTTAAACCATTCTTCACCATTACCATTCACACACTGAAGGTGAAATGTCACCCACAAGAACCACAAATTCTTCCATTTTCGAAGCGTTCTCGCTAACCCCACTTCCATATCCGGTTCTTTTGATCTTGGCGCTCATCTTGTTCTTTCTTGGATTTCAATGGTACTCTTCTTACGAAGAAGCCATTGAAGCCACTGAAGAGAGCTTCAATTGGGTTCTTTTAATCACTCCATTAATTCTGCTTTTTGCTGTCAAATGGTTGTCAAATGTGGAGCACCCAGAAAAGTTTTTTGGGTTTGGGTTGTCACCGTGGGAGCGTCGCCGCTGGCAGGCGTACCAGTCGCCGGAGGAGGGAGGTTCGCCGTGGGGGGTGGCTGCTTTGATATTGTTGGTGCTCGTCTTGATGCAGTTTCATTCTACTGTTCTTGAAAGTTGGTTTTGATCAAAATGATTTGAATTTTAATGGGTTTTGGTGGTTAATGTTAATTAAAGTGAGGTTTGATTTGTTTTTGTGTTTATTTAGAATGAATGTTTAATATGAGGTTTGATTTGTTTGGTACTACTACTCAGTTTGTGCTATGGTTAGTTGTACATTGAGCTATATAGGCTGTAATATTGTTCTTATATTTGGTTTTTTGGCTTGTATAATATCTAATTTATGCTTGTATTGCTATTCATGAAATAGGATTATTCATGGGTTTTTAGTATTCGTTGATTCAATTGTGTGACAGAACATAATCTCATCTCATTATTTATGTAATAAATGGTACCTTGTTAAATGGTTGATAATTGGCCTATCTGCCATTCAAAATAATAATAATAATAATAATTGGACAAAATTGCAAGAATGGTCCATGTGGTATGTCCAAAAATGCTACTTTGGACCAAACAGGTTTGGACTAGCACCAATAGTCCAAAAGTTTTCATTTTGCTGCGGTTTTGGTCTAAAATAATTTAAAAAATCTAAAAAATGACGGATTTGCCCTTTTTCATTTATTTTTTGTTTTTTCTTTTTATTATTTAATTATTTTCTAACTAAATAAATATAAAAAATAAAAGAAAATATTTCTCTCTCTCTCTCTCTCTCATCATTTTTGTTTCTATTCCAAAGAAACTCATATCTAAAAAGCATGTTTATGGTGTTTTAATTTGTCAAGAAACATAAATCCACCATCCTTCTATGTCGTAGAAACAAAAATCATGAAACCCATTAAATAATAAAACATTAACCCTGCAAACACATTACATTTTCAGAACCAAATCAAATTCAGAAACTCATTTGATAAGAGGTTTGTTTTTGTCAAGAAAAACCTGCAAATTAAATCCAAACACACAAAAAAAGATTGAATTCAAAAAAAGGTTTCCAATTAAGCACTGATATCCGACTACCTCCTTTACAATCAAACTCAATCAAACCCAAAATTGATTATTCTGAAGATCTGAAATTTAGGGATGAAGAGAGTGGTATAATTATTCTGAAGACCCAAAATCAATTACCTACTCTATAATCAAACCCAACAAAAGGGCAAAAATGTGTTTCAGACAATCGAAAAAGGATTAAGCTTCTTTAGCTCTTCATTTCTTGCAGTTTACAATAAAGAACACAATATGATCTGGCTTAGACTTACGATGAATGTATGGGGAACGGTGGTGATTCTTACGTCCACAAGTCGACGATGACAACAAGGGGCAGGCGGTGGTCAAGAGATGTAACCCAAATCGACGTTGCTAGGGTTTCCAGGGGTGGTGTCGTTGTCGGAATCGATGTTGGGTTACAATGACACATTCTTCTCGTCGGAGAAGACGAAACGATATGGGTCTATCCACCGACTTCGTCTTCCTCTACCAAAACAACCACCACCCTAGCTCCTATCTATAAACCATTGGAGGCTACCGACCACCACCTTCACAGCCCCTTACAGCCTCCCTCGGTCGTGTAGCACCACCAAACACACATCCCTTCACCCACTGCTCCGAAAAATCGATCCCAGGTGTCTTCCCCTCGATTTCTAGCCGTTAAACGCCCCATTTGAAAACCCTAGCCGCCAAGAAACCCTAACTTTCAGATCTTGATCTCGTTTTTCTCGTCGTCGGCTGTGGAGGTTCAAATGAAGGACATCAACGATCGAAGCGAGTGTTTGGGGTGGTGCTACCTGACCGGTGGGAGGCGGAGGGGCAGCGTAGGCCGACGACAGCCGCCGATTTATTCTTCTTTGGCCAGTGGTAAGCAAGAAATGAGAGAGAGAAAGAGAGAGAGAAAGAGAGAGGGGAGAAGATAGATAGAGAGAGAGAGAAAAAAAATATTTTCTTTTATTTTTATATTTTTTTAGTTAGAAAATAATTAAATAACAAAAAGAAAAGCAAAAAACAAGTGGAAAAGGGAAAATCCGTCATTTTTAGATTTTTAAAACCGTTTTGGACCAAAACTGCAGCAAAATGAAAACTTTTGGACTATTAATGTTAGTCCAAACCTGTTTGGCCCAAAGTAGCATTTTTGGACATACCACAATGACCATTCTTGCAATTTTGTCTAATAATTGGCCAAACCCTAACTAGGCTATGCCCCGTGGCTCGGTTCTATTGGAGGAATGTATATAAGTAATTTAAAATTTCATGTCTCTTAACTCTAAATAAATGTTTTTCTTATCACTTGGCCATATCCAAAACCAGTTTGAAAACAAAAACTTATGCGATTTATAAACCGGTTTGGTTGGAACTGATCCGGTTTGAAACCGAAATGTGGTTTGTATCGGTTTGAGTATTTTGCTAGTGGAAGCAGTTTGGATGAAACCGGTTTTCAAACTTATAAAAATCGATTTACATATAGTAAAAAAAAATTGGTTTCATCAATTATTTCTTCAATTTGTTGTTTATATAAGGTTTAGAGGTTTACCAAGACCGGTTTCATCCCTTCTACTATCCTAGATGCGCGGAAAATATTTTTCTAAATTTTAAAAGTTGAAAAATAATGTTTTGAACCTCCTCCCGAACGCATGGAAAAATACCATAGCTCATGCATAGCCATGAGTTTTACTTATTAGTGTGACTCTAATCAACCATTAAAGTTTCCTTCAAATTCTGACACCGACAATAAGTTAGTAAAATATGAAAAACTAGCGAAAAAATAGGTTTATTCAAACCGCTTTCACTCAAACGGATGGGGAACCGATCCTAACCAAATCCTATAAATTTGGAAATTTTTTTCTCGGAAACTGGTTTAGATATTCACGCGAAATCCTAGAAAATTTCATTTAAATTTAGCTTTAAGACTTTGGCACAAAAAGTGGTTGATTACCAAAATTTGTTAAATAAACAAATATATGCAACCAAGCCAAAGAGTTTTATGGTCGGCCAAGCAAACCCAAATACATACATGTTCATGCCTTTGTTCTTTCTTTTTCTTTAAAACAAGTTTTATAAATAATAAATTTACCTTTTTTTTAAACGGCAAATAACATTAAAAAGCATCGGACATGTAGCAAGAAGCTAGCAAGCGAGGGCAGAGTACAACTACAGAGGAGAAAACAAACGAAAAGATACAATTAAAAGTGAGCAAAAGGAGAACTACTCCATTGAGCCCAATTACTGCAACTATTATGACTCATGTGTTTAACCCACGAGTAAGATAAAACTATTATCATGTCTGCTGTTTTTGTTGGAGATTCCCGCACTTTTTTAAATGTCACATCATTTTTGACCAACTAAACACACCATATGATACAGAAAACTATGGAATTGAGAATTTCCCTTTTACGATGACAGTTACCCCAAAAGGTTGTGAAATCTATTAGTTCGAGTATGTTGGCGAATTGCACTATTTGTGGACCATATCATTTAAAAATCCATTTTAACACCTTCCTTGTGAATTCACACTTAGAGAATAGATGCTCTGTTGTTTTAAGTTCCCTATCGCATAATGGACAAGTCAGATTGTTCACCTTGATTCCTCTAATCGCTAAATTATTAGCCACAACTATTCAACAAGGCTCGCCACACAAAACAACGAACCTTTAATGGAACTGATCTGGACCAACATATAACCGGTCCTTTATATGAATTTGATTTGGAATCTATTAACCTTATCATGGAATCGACTGTGTATCTGCCGTCTGGATTTATTGTGAACTGAAAGCCCAGATTGTATGATGAAGGTATCTCGATATTACCAATTGCCAAATACATCCGTAGAAGTTCCTCAAGAGCCTCATCATTCCTCGGATTTTGTTTCCATCGCCATGAGAATCCATTGACAGAAAATCTTTCTTCAATCAAGCAACATTTCCTAGCTTCAAGATTGTATATAGTGGGAAAACGAGATTGAAACGTGGTGTTTCCACACCAGATATCTTTCCAGAAAAGAATGTTGAGTCTAGACCCTAGAGTTAGTCTGAAGCATTCATTGTAATTGATGCCAATGGGTTCAATATTATTTATCGCTTTATAAATATTTCACCATACTCCCTTTGATGATTTTTGTGCAATATATGAAACAGGTTTCCTTCTTAAGTTGTGAATACTCACAATCACCTTTTTCCATTGATGCTACATCGGCTCCGGCCACCTTAGCTGAGGGAGTGCTTCTACGCCGGAGACGGATCTGCGAGGTCACAACAGACAAGCCCGTTAGAGCCGCCCCAGGGACTGTGCCCTGGGAGCGGGCTCCGACGGTCAAGTTAGATCATCTGGTAGATCTGAGACGGTTCTCTTTAGCTAGAGAGAACCATCTTGGTGCTGGTGGTGGTTTATGGTGGCTGACGGCGGCGGGTGGCGGCTAAACCACCCGGCCGGAGTATAGGGCGGCGGCTGAGCCAAGGGGAAGACCCCCCTCCATGGATGAGATACTATTAATTATATAGGGGACAATTAGGTCAAGGGGAATTAGGTCAGGCCTTGGGCCAGCCCAATTCAGGCCCAGCTAGCAAGGAATTGGGCGAGGCCGCCCGGAGGCGCCGGGCGAGGCTGGCGGGCGCGCACCAGGCAAGGCTGGCGAGCGCGCACCAGGAAAGGCTGGCAAGGGAGCGCCAAGTCAGGGAGCGCCAGGCCAGGCCGGCGGGAGAGTCCCCAGCAGGGCTGGCAAGGGAGAGCCAGGCTGGGCCGGCGGGAGAGTCCCCAGCAAGGCTGGCAAGGGAGAGCCAAGCCAGGGAGCACCAGGCTGACGCGCCAGAGCGGTCTAGGCCATGCTAATGGACTGTCACACCCCGAAACCGTGATGGCGGAATCGTTCCGGGGTGGAGGACGTCATGCGTAGTATCACAACAATTGTATCATAGCAAGCATAGTAAACACAACCAGACATTGAATACATATGTGAAAAAAAAGTTTACATTGTTTAATACATAGTTTTGTTCATATCAAAAGTAAAATAGAAAGGTGCGACTCTAACGCTTCGACTTCTCCGAACTCCTGGAAGTACCTGTCTACTAATTCCCTGAGAAAACAAGC